CCACCAGGGGGCGGGGCTGGCTGGCATGTGGTGCTGGGGGATTGAACCGCGGTCCCTGTGCTTTGCTAAACTTGTACTAAGTAGGTGCTTTAGACCACTGAGCCATCTCACCAGCCCTTGCAGTGAAATCTTGAGTATAGCTAAACAGCTACCCATTGACAAAATATAAATAATGAGTCTTGGGTACTCTTCTATAGAAAATCATGATGGTACTGTAAAAAGCTTCCTGCTGAGCCGGCGAGATAGCTCAGTGGACTAAGTGCCTGGCTTAGGTAAGTGCAGGGACCAGAGTTCAATCCCCAGTACGGGATGCTGCACCAGTCCCGCTCCAGGTACGCTGAGTCCACCACCAAGTCCAGGCACAGTGATGCACACCTGTAATCCCAGTGCTGGGGAGGCTGAAACAGGAGGATCACTAGAGCTGAGCTGCATAGTGAGACCCTGTACCAAATACATAAAAAACCAACACCTTTCCTGTTCTGTTACAGTACTTCATGCCAATGTGTGGCATGATTGATTTTAGTGGGCTTGTCACAAACAGCCTAATTTGGTGACTGTTCTGCAAAGGAGTCATAGCCAGCTAACACAAGGGAAGCGACCCCAGGTGCCCAGGCAGAACACAAGGACATAGGGGCTGGGGAGATGGCTCAGTGGAGTGAGTGCTTCCCTGGCAAGCGCAAGGGCCTGAGTTCAAATCCCTGGTTCTGAGAGAGAGAGAGAGAGAGAGAGAGAGAGAGAGAGAGAGAGAGAGAGAGAGAGAGAGAGAAACACTCAAGGACAGTGAGGGGCATGATTGTCCAGCAGGGTCTGGACCTGGGCTTGTTTTGACTGCAGAATAAGCTCGTATAATAGTTTCTACCCGGCATATGGTCATTTTGGAGCTATTTGTGATGAAATCTGGCTTAGAGGACATCTGCAAATGATTGGACAGTGGTTTGTAATTGGGGGTGGAATTTCTGTAATCACAAATAGGTATTTTGTGCAGGCACAGATAGGGCTAACGACTTAGCAACTTTAGCCTCCCCTAAGAACAAGGAAGAGGTAAAAGGACATCTTGGGAACCTTCAAAAATAACCAAAAAAATAATCTTAATCATAAAAAGCACATCTGTCTGTCTTTTATTGCCTACCACAATTGGATACTTCCTTTTTTTGTGGTACCAGGGATTGAACTCAGGACCTTGTGCCTGCTGCTTATGCCGCTGAGCTATATCCCTGGTCTTAGGATATTTTTTATTTTTATTTTTTTAATTTTATGTATTTAGTACAGGGTCTACAAGGTCTCACTATGTAGGCTGGACTCGTAGTGATTCTCCTGTTTTCAGCCTCCCAAGTGCTGGATTATAGGCGAGCACCACCATGCTCAGTCTTAATCACAGTCTCAGCAGGCCTTGGGGTTGGGGCCAGCAAACAGGCCCAGGATTGAACCCTGGCCACTGTGCTCTGCCTAAGCATGCGCTTTAATCTGCTGAGCTATCTGGACAGCCCCCAAGGATACTTTCAATAAGCAGCAGAAACATATCTTGATGAGAGGACTCACATATTTAGTGATCCCTTTGACTACTAAGAAAACTTATGCCATTTAAATTCTTTTTTTTTAAATTTTTATTTGTGTGTGTGTGTGTGTGTGTGTGTGTGTGTGTGTGTCCAGCTCAGCCCACCAGGGGGGAGGGCTGGCTGGCATGTGGTACTGGGGGATTGAATCGCAGTCCCTGTGCTTTGCTAAGCTTGTTCTAAGTAGGTGCTTTAGACCACTGAGCCATCTCACCAGCCCCAGCCATTTAAATTCTTAGGTAACCAAACTTTCCATACTTTAGAAGATAAGGACCTGGGCTGGTGAGATGGCTCAGTGGTCTAAAGCACCTACTTAGAACAAGCTTAGCAAAGCACAGGGACCGCGGTTCAATCCCCCAGCACCACATGCCAGCCAGCCCGCCCCCTGGTGGGCTGAGCTGGCCACACACACACACACACACACACACACACAAAAAAAAAAAAGAATCCTGATGGATCCAGAATTCTGTTTTTTTTTTTTTTTTAAAAAAAAAAGATAAGGACCTGCATAGTGGTTAATAAAATTTTAATTAAGTGGAGTTATGGCATAATATACACAATCAAACTTTCTAGGGAGTTCATAATATATATGGCAATGTGGACCCCCACCAAAAAAAGAGAGACATAAATAGGCCTTATTTGAAATAATTAGGAAAAGGCTACCATCTGACTTAGCAAAAACATCTGTACCCTAAGTATTTACAGAGAAATCTGTTTTTATTACCTCCAACTATAATTCATACTACAAAGGGAATTTAGAACTATAAACCTAGAACAAACAGGAACTAAATAAGTAAGCAAAGCTAATGACATTATTACTTTTTTCTGAGAGAGGATCTCATTATGTACTGTCCAGGCTGGCCTCCAACTTGTGGCAATCCTCTTGCCTCAGCCTCCTGAATGCTGGCATAAGCACGCAGCACCACTCCTAGTCGGACACCATTACTATTCATAATAGGGTTACATTATGTAATAATATAACATGTTTTCAGAACATTTTAAATAATGAAGAGTAACTACATAAGCTTAAAAACAATTATAAATGGTAAGTAAATTATGATTAGATATAATTTCTAAGATTCCATGTTTGAAAAAGTTGTTCATTTTTATTTGATATTTTTTTTTTTGTGGTACTGGAGATTGAACTCAGGACCTTCCGCTTGCCAGGCAAGTGCTTATGCTGCTGAGCTATTTCCCTAGCCCTTGATAGATTTTTAAAAAAAATCTTATTTATTTATTTATTTATTTGTGTGTGTGTGTGTGTGTGTGTGTGTGTCCAGCTCAGCCCACCAGGGGGCGGGGCTGGCTGGCATGTGGTGCTGGGGGATTGAACCGTGGTACCTGTGCTTTGCTAAGCTTGTTCTAAGTAGGTGCTTTAGACCACTGAGCCATCTCACCAGCCCGCCCTTGATAGATTTTTATTTGTAGGGGTTTTTTTTTTAGTGTATTTAGTACAGGGCCTACAGGATCTCACTATGTAGATTGGACTCATAGTGATTTTCCTGTTTTCAGCCTCCCAAGCACAGGAGTTACAGGCGTGTGCCAACACGCCCAGTTTCAATCTGTCTCAGTGTGCCCCAGGGGCACGGCTGGCATGGCACGCTGGGGATCCCTGCATCTGTCTAAGGAGATACTTCAATTTGCTGAGCTATCTGGCTGGCCTTTTATTTGTATGTGTGTGTGTGTGTGTGTGTGTGTGTGGTTTTTTTAAGTATACAGGTATTATTTTAATTTTTATTTACTTATTTTTGTGGTACTGGGGATTGAACTCCGGACCTTGTGCTTGTGAGGCAAGTGTTTATTCTATTGAGCTATCTTCTTGGCCCCTTTTTTGTAGTTTTGAGGCGGGTCTTGCTATGTAATCTGATTGGCCTGAAACTGTGTATCCCAGGCTGGCCTCAACCTTGTAGTGATCTTCCTGCCTCAGCCTCCTTGCTAGGATTGTAGGCATGTGCTGCAATGTTGGCTCAATAAGGTTTTATTTGAAATCTAATTCATAGTGGAAAAGATTCTGAGCTTTTTTTTTTTTTTTTTTTTGCAGAACTGAGGATTGAACTCAGACCCTTGCACTTGCCAGGGAAGCGCTTATTCTACTGAGCCATCTCCCCAGCTCCATTAACTTTATTCTTAAGAACCAACTAAACTGGTCTAAACTGTCAATAATTCTAATAAATGCATTTTTAGACAGTTTTTTCTGGGTATCTGCCTATTGGTCATTGATATACTATGTCCTTTGTTGTCATACTTAGTTAAATTTCCTGAAATATAAAGTCAAATTAATTTTTACTTGTCATACTTGCTAGTACAAATAAATATATAAGAATATAGGAGATGCACCATAAATCCTGTGTAGATATATGTAGTCTTTCATATAGAGTACTATATTTTGAGAACTCCTTTCAAAACAATGATGCTAAAATTCTGCAAGATCCTGAAATGAGTTTTGAGTCACTGAAGGAGGAGTAAAGTGTTTAACAATGTTTAAATTCAATTACACTTTTTTGTACCTTCTAGTTTTCTGAAAGGTGTTGATCTAAGCTAGTGTACATAACTGTTTTAAAAAAATCAAGTAATGAGCCAGGGAGATGGCTCAGTGAAATAAGTGCTTCCCTGGCAAGCGCAAGGGCCTGAGTTCAATCCCCGGTTCTGCAAAAATAAATAAATAAATAAATAAATAAAGTAACGGTACTGACAAGTAACAGTACTGACCAGCAGGATGCATTCCAAGACTGCCCTTCAGACACTTCAGTGCGTGAACACACTCAGACAAGCAAGTTCACGCAACCTCAAGATGCTTAGAAGCATGGATGCTGTTCAGCCAGTGAAGCCCAAGCCCTTCCCTCCCGTGATGCACTGCGATCCAATTTTCCTAAGTATGAAATGGGCCTTTCTAGTAGCTGTGCGAAAAAGCAGCAGAAATGGGCTTTTTTTCTA